TGCTCCATCCCTTCCCCCTTCACCCTCCTTTTCATACATCTTCCATGTACCCTTGTCACTGACACACTCCCATGCTATTATATCACTCACTTTAAAATTCCATTTATTCCCTCATTTTTTTTTTTTTTTCCTGCAGGAACTGTCCTTATGTCTACAACCGAAGTGCTAGAAAAGTCTGTCCATGTTTATTGCCTCTCCTTCCATTCTTCTATGGATGATCTCTATTAAGTTTCTGTCAAGGGTACCAAAAACCACGTAGTCTTATGACCATTTCTTGATCCTTACCCTATAAAACCTGCCTGAGGCATCTGAAAATTTTCTTCCTTGAAACGTTGACTTCAGTTAGTTTTCAGGATGCCACACTAACTTGGTTTTTGTTCTGTTTTTCTTCCGATTTCTTCTCTTCTATTTGGCTTGTTACTCCTTATCTCCTTGTCCTTTTAATGTTGCACTACTCCAGGCTCAGATCTTGAAAATATTTTCTGTCCTTCCTCATTCCCTAGTTTATTTCATTCGGTCTCATGAGTAGATATGTGCTCTGTCTTCTGATAATTATTCAATTGGAATTTCACACTTAGATTTTTCACAGGGGTGCTAGAGTGGTGTAGCCATTTTCTACTATGTTCAAAACTGAGTCCCCAAGTTCCCTAGATCTGATGCTTCTGTAGTTCTTCCCTTCTTAGTTGTATGCATCCACCTTCCTGACATTATTAAGGCCCACAAATTTGATGTTGCCAGAGACTTCTCAATTTTATCACCCTCAGTCTCTTATTCCAATTTGTCGGTAAATCCTGGCAGCTTCAATATATAGAATTCAGGCACATTTCACCCTCCCAACTCACTATCGTCTCTTACCAAAGTGCTATAATACATCAATCGTTTCCAACCTGAGCTCATTTCCACCATTTCACCTTGCAGTATCTTCTCAAAAATCAGCCACAGCTGTTCAACTAAAATGCCATTCCTCACTCAAATGTCCATAATGCCTTCTCAGCTCACTCAGAGTAAAATACAAAATCTTGTGACGCTAAACCCTACATGACTTAGTGTCTCTTTGCCTCTTCTACTTCCTATTTTTTCTGCCATCCCTTGGGCACCAGGGCACTCTGGCATCTTGGAAGAGCCTCAGATTTAATTACGGTTCCACCAGGATTCACTTCTCATGGAAACCACAGATGTCAACATGGTGAATGTTCTCACTTTCAGCAGGTGTATTCAAAATTCATCTTCCCAGTGAAGCTATCCTTGGCCATCCTATCTAAAACAGTAACTCTCAACCATGGCAGTTCATGCCCCTGCCTCTCTGCTTTATTTATTCTTTAGTCCTTACTGTCTACAATGTAAGATCTTTGTACACAGACACAAGCTTGTTTGTTGTTTCTGCTTGTTTATACACTGTGTGAAGGTAGAGTTGTCTGTTTTTTAACTTTTGCATTCCCAGTGTCTAGAACACAATGTCATACATAGAAGATGCAAAATAAATATTCATGGAATGATTGGCTGAAATAATTAGAAAATACTATAAATTGTGCATGCTATCATTGTGAATAATATGTTTATATATCCAAAGATAACATTGTCATCTTTTTTTTCTATCTTGCTAAGTTATGAAATACTAAAATACTTTTTAAGAAGTATGAATATATAGTTTTAGTCCATTGTGTTGAAGTTTATGTATCAAAATATCATAAAAATACAACAAACATTTAAAATGAATTCTTCCATTTTCTGTAAACCACTTTCCACCTATTACAGGCAATAATGCTAGTATGTCAGTGCTAAATGCTAGATTCCAAGCTTTTTCAAAAGGAACTTTGAAAAGATGAGTGTCTGAAAATATTCTTTTTTCTATAGGTTCCACTTCAGAAACAGAATTTAATCAAAATTGGCTTGTATAGTCCTGCCATGATTATATGCCATTTCCTAACCAACCTGATAGCTACAAGGTTCAAACTCATTCTGGGATTGGAGGATTCACTTTTCTATTCATCAATTATAATTTCTAATAATAATGCTCCTGCCTTTGTAATTTACAATGGTTCTTTAATTTAAAAAAATCACAAACTTTCTGAAATAATCAGGTTACCTTCTGGAGTTGCAGGTTTTTTATCTTTTAAGTGAACACTAAACATTCTGCTATATATGACATTTTCTAAACACCTGTTTGGAGATAAGGGCAGTTGTTCTCTTTGTTCTATACATGTGTTTTCTTTTTATGTCTAAAAATGGAAACACACAATTAAAATGCTTCTTAGTAAATTTATTACTGCCAAATTCATAAGTTAAATTAAAAAAAATCACATCTTTGGAAATGTCTTTAAAAAATATTCATAGGTTATTTCACAGTAGCAAGTACATAGGTATAAATGCCTGTCATTTAACAAGCTTCTATTCTTCCTTTAATTCCTTTTGATGTTGAGGTCTCTGTAAAGATGAGAAAACCAACCTAAATGGATTTCACTTTAAAATCAAAATGAGTTGAGTCTGAAATGTTCTTGTGTCTGTGACAGTTTAAATCCCTCCTGAACTTTCTATCCTTCTCTGGTTTTATCACGAGAAACATGGCAAATGGGTTAGAGTATTTTCACTCAGTCAGATGATGGTAGTGAAATAGAAAGAGAGTAAGGATACTGTATCCAGAAGTGGCGGTGTTTTATTGCTTTGTGGGCCCTGCAGCCACTTTATGAAGGCTGAGGGAGGGAGTTTCAGAGCGCAGGTGGCTACCGGCTCGCCTTCAGTACCGACCTAAGCACTTACTCTGAAAAAGAGGCCAGGTGACCCCCGAGGAATTATAGAAGGAAACCGTGTAAAAGTTGAAATAAGAAAAACCTAGGGAATAAATACAAAAGCATGTGTTCACAAGAGCAAGCACTCCAAGAAATGCCACCTCAGCAGAAATCTGGTAACTAGGCCAGGCAGAGAACATCCTTCCTAGGTTAAATTATTCTCACAAAAATCTTTCCTATCTCTTCCTTAACCTTCAATTCTGCTGTATTTTTTAATGTTCAGGAAAAAAATAAGTATAAATTTTAGAAACAGACTCAAATTCAGCAAATTTGATGTTATGTATTTATACAGCCATTGATTGCAATTCCCCCAACTGGTTAATATATAATCTTCCTGATGAAATTGACAGGTAATTGATGTTTTTATTTTCAGTTTGAGCATTCACCTTAGTATCAGTGTAATTTAGACTATGCAATAATATAACTGCATTAATGAATAGTTTTTCAATTATGTTTTAACATTTCATATTCAAATTTTACAAGAATCCTTGATGAAATAGTATCTTTTAATTGCTTAGATTTATGGACATGATATTATTTGTCAGTTGAGGGGAAACAGCTCACCAAGCTTGACCTATGCTTAAGGCCTTGTGCTAATTAATCAAGAATAGGCTGCAGCTCCTCTTGCTAATGACCTCATCAACAATGGGTATAGTTTCAGGATAGAAAAAACAAAAGGTGAATCCCAATTATTATTTTTTTTCAGTTTGGTTTTCTCCTTGAATAGCGTGGGGAGGCTCTGGAGGGAGGCAGACTGGCTGAGTTCATAGTCTAAAAATAATAACTTATATTTACTGTGCCTTTGTCAATGATAGGCATATAGGAAATACTTTGTAAATGAATCCTCTAATTAAATTATCACAACAGTGCTAAGTGATAGAAACTATTACTATCCTCGTTTTTTCTGTTTTTTTTTTTTTTTTTTTGAGATGGAGTCTCGCTCTGTCGCCCAGGCTGGAGTGCAGTGGCGCGATCTCGGCTCACTGCAAGCTCCGCCTCCCGGGTTCCCGCCATTCTCCTGCCTCAGCCTCCTGAGTAGCTGGGACTACAGGCGCCCGCCACCGCGCCCGGCTAATTTTTTGTATTTTTAGTAGAGACGGGGTTTCACCGTGGTCTCGATCTCCTGACCTTGTGATCCGCCCGCCTCGGCCTCCCAAAGTACTGGGATTACAGGCGTGAGCCACCGCGTCCGGCCTATCCTCGTTTTTTATACAGACCAAATCTTAGCATGGCTAATTCACTTGTTCAAAGTGATCTATCTAGCAAATGGTAAGGTCAGGATATAAGCCCAGGCATTCTGGTTCTGGACTCTATACTCTTTCTGAATCTGAGTACAGTAGGTCATTGATACATGTTAGTTTCTTTCTAGCTGTACAATTTTTAAAACACTTGAAAGCATGATTTTTTTTTAATTCAAAGAATATTTTTTATTACATAAAATGTTATATATACAGTTGGGCTTTTATTTGTTGTCTACCTGGACCTTTCTGTCCTTCAATACACCAAAGGTAAGATTATGTTAAATATGGTGCATTTCTTTCCAGGCCCATTAGTTATGTGGTTATAAACGTACATGACTCCATAGCACATTAAGAAATGTACATATTCTTCAACTTGGTTTTGTTATCATTATGTCTTACAATTTACTTTAGTTATCTATGTTAAATTATATAAATGTGTCAAAGTTTACCCATTCCACTATTGACATAAACTTAGATTGTTCCTACATTTTACCAAAGTAATTGGTTTTGTAATGAGCCTACTTGTCACTTTGATTTCTGCATATACAAATTTCAGGCAAAAGTTGCTCATAGTTACTCAATCTATTTTTCCTGCAGGAACATTTCTTTGTGTAGAGACATGACAACAAGTCTGTTAAGTCGTAGGGCGTGTGTAATCTTCTGCTAACTGGGAAAAGCCTGATAGTTCTCCTTAGTCTCAAGAGTAAAGAGTCTTTTTGGACTTGATTTCTGCCATATCATCACCATCAGTTTATAAATCAGATTTGTTGTTTGTTTTTTAAAAATATTTTCTGCCATTATAAAGGTTACAAAATAGTGTATCGTTAGTGATTTATTGCATCTCTCCCTGATGACTGTGTAAATTGAGAATCTTTTCTGTTAGTTATTCAGGATTTCTTTTCCATAAACTCATTCATTCGCTTATTTATTTAAGATCTGAAGGGAGTCAAGAGGAAATGCAAAATGAACACGAGAACATAATGGTAGTGATTTCAGGGGTGAGGCTGAGATCATAGAAGTTACCGTGGGAATCATCAGCGTAAACATGGCACTTACTGTCATATAAATGATACCACACCAATAATGAGTAGGGAGACAGGAGAAAAGCTTCAAGGCTTGAACCTCAATGCTTGAATATTACAAAGTCTCAGAAAAAGGAGGGATAGCCACTAGAAAGAGTGAGACAAACCAAAAAGAAGAAAAAATGAAGACGATTTGATGTTTAGGAAGGCAAGAGAATGCTCCCAGAACGAGGGAGGAAACATCTGGGTAAAGATTGCTGAGAAGACAAGAAAGAGGAGGACCAACGTTTGATCATTTGAGTTGATATTTTGAAGATTGTGGATAAGAGCAGCTTTGGTGGAGTGGTGGAATTCAGTGAGTACAGACAGTTTTTTCATTCAGTTTTTCCTTTATTTTTCAGCTTTCTTGTTATAATTGATAAATAAAAACTGTATACATTTACTGCATACAACATGATCATTTTACATACATATGTACATACACATGGTGAAATGATTACTGAAACCAAGCTAATTAACACATCCATCACCTCATGTAGTTATGTGCATGTGTGAGAACACTTAAGACCTACTCTCTCAGCAAATTTCAAGTATGTGATACAGCATTACTAACGACGGTCAACATGCCACACATTAGAGTTCCAGAATGTATTCATCTTGTAACTGAAAGTTTGTAGCCTTTGACCAACATCACTCTGTCCCCTACCCATACCAAGTCCTAGCCCCTGGCAACTACCATTTACTATCTGCTTCTACAGGTTTGACTTTTTAGATTCTGCATATAAGTGAGATCATATAGTATTTGCCCTTTGGTGTTGGGTTTATTTCACTTAGAATAACATTCTCCAGGTTATATAAAGCACACTTTTTTCCCATTCATCCATCAATGGACACGTAGATCATTTCCATATCCTGGCTACTGTGAATAGTGTTGCAATAAGCTTGGGAATGCAGCTATCTCTTGAAGATACTGATTTCCATTTCATTTGGATATATATACCCAGAAGTGGGATTGCTGAATCATCTTGTTATTCTGTTTTGAATTTTTTGAGGAAACTCTGTACTGTTTTCCATAATGGTTGCACTAATTTACATTCCCATCAGCAGGTGCACAAGGCTTTCCTTTCCTCCACATTCTTACCAATACTTGTAATCCCTTGTCTTTTTGATAGCATGTTATATACATGTGTTTTATTTTTATAACACACCAACATCCTGATGTGTGTGAAGTGATTGTTCATTGTGTGTGTGTGTGTGTGTGTGTGTGTGTGTGTGTTTTTTTTTTTAACATAAATAAGGTGTTGTAATGAAAAGGACAATTTCAGGATGGCACCATTAATGTGTGTATATTTCTTTTTTATTATTATTATACTTTAAGTTCTGGGATACATGTGCAGAATGTGCAGGTTTGTTACACAAGTATACATGTACCACGGTGGTTTGCTGCACTCATCAACCCATCATCTACACAAGGTATTTCTCCTGATGCTATCACTCCCCACCCCCGACAGACGCATGTGTGTGATATTCCCCTCCCTGTGTCCATGTGTTCTCATTGTTCAACCCCCACTTATGAGTGAGAACATGCAGTGTTTGGTTTTCTGTTCTTGTGTTAGTTTGCTGAGAATGATGGTTTCTAGCTTCATTCATGTCCCTGCAAAGGACATGAAATCATCTTTTTTATGGCTGCCTAGTATTCTATGGTGTATATGTGCCACATTTTCTTTATCCAATCTATCATTGATGGGCATTTGGGTTGTTCCATCCAAGTCTTTGCTATTGTGAACAGTGCTGCAATAAACACACGTGTGCATGTGTTTTTATAGTAGAATGATTTATAATCCTATGGGTATATACCCAGCAATGGGATTCCTGTGTCAAACGGTAGTTCTGGTTCTAGACCCTTGAGGAATCACCACTCTGTCTTCCACAATGGTTTAACTAATTTACACTCCCACCAACAGTGTAAAAGTGTTCCTATTTCTCCACATCCTCTCCAGCATCTGTTTCCTGATTTGTTGATGATCGTCATTCTAACTGGCTTGAGATGGTATCTCATTGTGGTTTTGATTTGCATTTCTTTAATGACCAGTGATGTTGAGCTTTTTTTCATACCTTTGTTGGCCGCATAAATGTCTTCTTTTGAGAAGTGTCTGTTCATATCCTTTGCTCACTTTTTGATGGGGATGTTTGTTTTTTTTCTTGTAAATTTGCTTAAGTGCCTTGTAGAGTCTAGATATTAGCCCTATGTCAGATGGATAGATTGCAAACATTTTCTCCCATTCTGTAGGTTGCCTGTTCACTCTGATGATAGTTTCTTTTGCTGTGCAGAAGTTCTTTAGTTTAATTAGATCTCATTTGTCAATTTTGGCTTTTCTTGCCATTGCTTTTGGTGTTTTAGTCATGAAGTCTTTGCCCATGCCTATGTCCTGAATGATACTGCCTAGGTTTTCTTTTAGGGTTTTTACAGTTTTAGGTCTTAATTTAAATCTTTAATCCACCTTGAGTTAATTTTTGTATAAGGTATAAAGAAGGGGTCCAGTTTCAGTTTTCTGCTTATGACTAGCCAGTTTTCCCAACACCATTTATTAAATAGGGAATCCTTTCTTCCGTGCTTGTTTTTGTCAGGTTTGTCAAATATCAGATGGTTGTAGATGTGTGACATTATTTCTGAGGCCTCTCTTCTGCTCTATTGGTCTATATCTGTTTTTGTACCAGTACCATGCTGTTTTGATTACTGTAGCCTTGTAGTATAGTTTGAATTCAGGTAGTGTGATGCCTCCAGCTTTGTTCTTTTTCCTTAGGATTGTCTTTGCTCAATGGGCTCTTTTTTGGTTCCATATGAAATTTAAAGTAGTTTTTTCTAATTCTTTGAAGAAAGTCAATTGTAGCTTGTTGGGGATAGCAATAAAGTACTTTGGGCAGTATGGCCATTTTCACAATGTTGATTCTTCCCATCCATGAGCATGGAATACTTTTTTATTTGTTTGTGTCCTCTCTTATTTCCTTGAGAATTGGCTTGTAGTTCTCCTTGAAGAGGTCCTTCACATCCTTTGTAAGTTGTATTCCTAGGTATTTTATTCTGTTTGTAGCAATTGTGAATGGGAGTTCACTTATGATTTGACTCTCTGTTTGTCTATTATTGGTGTATAGGAATGCTTGTAATTTTTGCACATTGATTTTGTATTCTGATACTTTGGTGAAGTTCCTTATCAGCTTAAGGACATTTTGGGCTGAGACAATGGGGTTTTCTAAATATACACTCCTGTCATCTGCAAACAGAGAAAATTTTACTTCCTCTCCTCCTGTTTGAATACCCTTTATTTCTTTCTCTTGCCTAATTGCCCTGGCCAAAACTTCCAATACTATTTTAAATAGAAGTGGTGAGAGAGGGCATCCTTGTCTTGTGCCAGTTTTCAAAGGGAATGTTTCCAGCTTTTGCCCATTCAGTATGATATTCCTGTGGGTTTGTCATAAATAGCTCTTATTATTTTGAGATACGTTCTTACTATTTTGAGATACGTTCCATCAATGCCTAGTTTATTGAGAGTTTTTAGCATGAAGGGGTGTGGAATTTTATTGAAAGCCTTTTCTGAATCTATTGAGATAATTATATGTTTTTATTCCACTGGTTTTGTTTGTGTGATAGATTACATTTATTGATTTGCATATGTTGAACCAGCCTCACATCCTAGGGATGAAGTCGAGTTGATTGTGGTGGACAAGCTTTTTCATGTGCTGCTGGATTCGGTTTGTCAGTATTTTATTGAGGATTTTCACATCGATGTTCATCAGAGATATTGGCCCGAAATTTTCTTTTGTTGTTGTGTCTCTGCCAGGTTTTGGTATCTGGATGATACCAAATGAGTTAGGGAGGAGTCCCTCTTTTTCTATTGTTTGGAATAATTTTAGAAGGAATAGTACCAGCTCCTTTTTGTACCTGTGGTAGAATTCAGCTGTGAACCCATCTGATCCTGGGCTTTTTTTGGTTGGTAGGCTATTAATTACTGCCTTAATTTCAGAACTTGTTATTGGTCTATTCAAGGATTCTACTTCTTCCTGGTTTAGTCTTGGGAGGGTGTATATGTCCAGGAATTTATCCATTTCTTCTAGACTTTCTAGTCTATTTGCCTAGAAGGTATAGTATTCTCTGATGATAGTTTGCATTTCTGTGGGATCAGTGATCTCCTCTTTATCATTTTTATTGTGTCTATTTGATTCTTCTCTCTTTTCTTCTTTATTAGTCTGGCTAGCACTCTATCTATTTTGTTAATCTTTTCAAAAAACCAGCTCCTGGATTCATTGATTTTTTGAGGGGTTTTTTTGTGTCTCCATCTCCTTCAGTTCTGCTCTGATATTAGTTATTTTTTGTTTTCTGCTAGTTTTTGAATTTGTTTGCTCTTGCTTCTCTAGTTCTCTCAATTGTGATATCGGGGTCGATTTGAGATCTTTCCTGCTTTCTCCTCTGGGCATTTAGTGCTATACATTTCCCTCTAAACACTGTTTTAGCTGTGTCCCAGAGATTCTTGTACATTGTGTCTTTGTTCTCATTGGTTTCAAATAACTTATTTATTTTTGCCTTAATTTCGAGAGATGTGGAGTCAGGGTATTTTTAAAAACTTGTTTGTTTTCATAGTGGAAGAAGGTATAACATATCTTTGGGCTCAAGGGATGATCCAGTAGATAAATAAGGAAGTTTATTTGCAGAGGCAACATTCTTGTGTAGGTGAGAGAGCATGAAAGCCACTGAAAAAACAAATAGTTAGCCTTAGAAAGCAGCAGAGAGAGTCATCCATGGAGATGGAAATGAGGTCAGAGTATGTGAGTATACAATGGGAAGGTGGTAGGGTTAGGGATTATGTGGAAGTTATTTTCTGATTTTTCCACATTCACATTTAAGAGACTTAATATTGCAAAATGAAATCATTTATCTCAGATCCCTATTATTCATGTGTAGTGTGCTAGTAATGTCCTCTCCAAGAGAAAGTTTATGAAGAGAAGCTGTGACCATTCTCCAGGTATAAGATAAAAGCATTGGAAAACCTTCTTAGATAAAAATCTGCCTTTTTCCTAATTTTTTTGTGGGCAATACTGCTATTTTCCTTAATATGAACCTATCTCTGCTTCACTGGTAAGTGAGGAATTGAACACCGATGCTATTCCATAATAATGGTATATATAGAAACATACTGATAGAGCTTAAAATTGAAAACATAATTTGAAAAAAAAACCTTATATTATTATTTTAAATTCTCTTCAGGAAACATAACCATGTTTCCTAAGCTGATGGAACACCTTTGAATTTTCATACTTATTCAGAATTAATAATTACATATTTGATATGGTTTGGCTCTGTGTCCCTACCCAAATCTCATGTGGAATTATAAATCCCTATGCATCAGGGGAGTGACCTGGTGTTAGGTGGTTGGATCATGGGGGTGGATTTCCCCCATGTCATTCTTGGGATAGTGAGTGAGTTCTCATGGGATCTGATGGTTTAAACGTGTGGCACTTCCCCCCTCACTCTCTCTCTCCTGCAGCCTTGTGATGAAGTCACTTGCTTCCACTTTACCTTCCCCCATGATTGTAAGCTTCCTGAAGCTTCCCCAACCATGTGGAACTGTGAGTCAACTAAATCTCTTTCTTTACAAATTACCCGGTCTCAGGTAGTTCTTTATAGCAGTGTGAAAACAGACTACTTTCTTTCTGAAATAAAATCCTCACTTTTGTAATGTGGAGAGATAGTTACTTTTAGTTCATAAATTGTTTATTAAGTTACCAAAAATAATTATTTTTAAAGTAATTTTCTGGCATATTATTTTTTAAATGAACATATCAGTGCCAATACATAGTCTGAGGAAAGGCTACAGAAATCCAGAGGTCCTGACAATTATGTTGAGCTGCTCCTGGGTATATCGGAGTGTTCATTTCTCTGTGCCAGCCACACTGACATAACCTTGCTTAATGAATGGCTACAGACACAAAGACGCTAGATTCTTGCAGCATCAGCCCTCTGCTGACATACCTTATCACTGCAATTTGTCTCACCTTTCATTGTGTGTACTATCTTTCTGAAGTTTTATCTAGTCAACTGCCATAAACTGCTGTTCTAAAACACATTTTTCACATCTAATGAGAAAGGTGATTTTGGAAAAGAAACTTAATGGCCTCTTTGCTTTTGCCTTCTCTCCCTCAAACCTGCATAGCGGTAGCATCAAAAGTCTTGAGATAGATACTGCTGATCTCATGTTTGCTTTGGATACTTTCAAAGCTGCAAAGTGTGACACAGCCTTGGAGAGGAAGAGAAAAAGTGTAAGTATTATTTGGAACTCCGGGGAGGATGAAGAACTAACCTCACAACTGAAAATATGTAATAATCTACACTTGGCTACTAAATGTGGAGGGTAGTGATTTTTTCTTCTTTTTCTTTCTTTCTTCTCTCTCTCCCTGTCTCTCTCTCTCTCTCTCTCCCTCTCTCTCTCTCTCTCTCTCTTTTCTTTCTTTCTCTTGCTCTCTCACCCAGGCTGGAGTGCAGTGGCACAATCATGGCTCACTGAAGCCTGCGCCTCCCCAGTTCAAGAGACTCTCCCGCCTCAGCCTCTGGAGTAGCTGGGATTATAGGCATGCACCACCACACCTGGATAACTTTTGTATTTTTAGTAGAGAAGGAGTTTCACTATATTTTGCCAGGCTCATCTTGAACTCCTGACCTCAAGTGATCCACTCGCCTTGGCCTCACAAATTGTTGGGATTACAGGCATGAACCACTGCACCTGGGCGAGAGTGGTGATCTTTAATGTCCATTTGGTGGAAGGAAGAAAATGGGAGCGAGAACTGAGTGAGAGGAAATGAAACCATTAATCCTCTTGCTTTAGCTCCGTGGAGAGACAAGGTGGACAGGCACAGTTGTTGCAGTGGACTCACCTCTACCTCCTGAGTGTGGAAACAGAAAAGAACACAGCCTAAGTGAAGGACATCATTCCCCTCTCATACCGCATCTTTGGTGACTGGTCTCCGAGGTCTGGCCACAGGACTCTTTCCTTACTTTTAGAGGCAATCCCATAATCAAGTTCTTTTCACCTCTGATGCTTTTATGGTTCATGTTCACTTTCTCAGGCAAGGTTGAGGAGGAAACGTGGTCACTTGTTCGGAAAGCTATTTTGTTCATTTTTTCTCTGTGGATATGACAGAACCATTGTGACAGGGTTCAGCAACGGCAGCTGACAATGCCTGCTTGCCCCCTGCTCTTCTTTGCATCCCTACCTTTCCACCTGCTGATGCTGCTGGAGCCAACTTTGTTGTCAGGGCCTCAGGAAATGCCCATGGGAATCCCTGCAGGGGCCCCCGGTCTGCTCACCCGCCTCTTGGGAAGACTCAGCACGCACACCCCTTCATCCCAACACCATCTGCAATCCACGGGCATAGCACAGGGTCCAGACTAACTTTGCTCTTGCTCTGAGAATTCCTCGGTGACACGTCGCACTGTAGCCTTCACCTTACATGCTTTATCTTAATGCCCTTGATTCTCTCTCTGTCACTTATCTTTTTCTAATTGAGAAAAAATCATGGCTTTATGTGGCCTTTAGAGTGTCCCTAATGGTTATTCAAACAGTGAATGACTCCTCTCATGAGCCAGGAAAGTAGATACTGGAGTGTGGATTATATTCTGGAAGCACATCATTTTCCAGAGAACTTGACATCACTGTTTTTCAGATTTGAGTGTCTATCTACCAGGTTTAATTTTTAAAAAGAAATTCTACTTAGGATAGCATGCTTGACCTTAAAGCATGACCTTACTTGTTGTGAGAAGAATAGGGGATTTTTTTCTAAGTTTCATTAAATGATAGAGTTCTTGAATGGATATCTGTGTGAATCCAGTGGGACAATTTAAGGAGGGTTTTCAATACTTGAAAAATTGTAATAGACTATATGAGTAAATCTGGCCAATTGCTGTACCAATGGGCTCCCTCTAAAAGGCTCTGTGAAAGACATTCTTCTCTCAGGCTCAGGGAGAGTCATTGACTACCTGAGTTTTCACCCATTTTGCCAACACTCAACAGCAAAGATTTCTTCCTATAGAAAATCAGGATCCAAGTATTTAGTCAGAAGATAAACAAGGAATACAAACATATGTTAAATAAAGTCTCATAAGATATTTGGGAACATTTAGGGTAAAAGTAGATATAATAAAAAAGATACTTCAATGTTTTGGAAATGACTATAATTTTAAACATGTATAACTATTGGGTACTGGGCTTAATACCTGGGTGATGAAATAATTTGTACAACGAACACCCATGACACGTGTTTACCTATGTAACAGACTTTCACACGGACCCTTGAAGTTAAAATACAAGTTAAAAATGTGATGAAACAAAATATAGTATAAACTACGGAGCGTTTTACCTCAAGGCATTTTTCTTCCTCCAAAGATGCAAGTTGCCCAAACAGGCCAAGGGCCTGGTGATTCTCTTAGGGTGGTAGCTGCTATCCCCTGACCTGCTTTTCTAAGCTATTGTTAATGTTCTTTCAACTTAAGCTTCTTGGCTGTCTCGGTTTGGTGAGTTTGCTTCCATCCTTTCGTATTCATTGAGATCACGCATTACATTAGTGATTTGGTGGCTCCACATATGAAGGTCAGAGAGTAATTAATCTGAAATTGCTTACTTCTTAGGAAACTGCATCCTGCTTCCCAAATGCCTACTACATATTCCGTTTGAGTGTCATGCAAATGTCACAAGCTCACTCTGCTTCAAGTATAGATTATTAGATTCTAGAGGAAAAAAAGTAATCTTCAGTTTCTTACATAACATTTGTCAATAATTTCTATGATTCTGAGCTGTTCTGTAGCTCAGGAAGCACCATGGTTCAACCTCAGTATTTTGGAACTTGGAAAGTTTCTATTAGTCTTGTTTGTTTCATGTTTGACTACCTAGTTTTCATGCATTTTGCCATCGCCAGGCAGTACTTGCATAATGTGGAGAGCTAGTGTGGCTTTAGCCAGGAATCATCCTGGGGCTAGGTGGGGGTTAGGCAGGGGTTAGATGGGGTCTAAGGGGGTGATTGTTGGAGGCCTAACTTTCTCTGCATGTTTTACCATGATGTGATGCAGAGTTGGCAGCTGCGGTTTTGGAGTGAACCAGCCCTGGGTTCAAGTTCGGTTCTAGCAGTTTCTTAGGTCTGATTCCTTAGAAGTAAGCGCTGTCTTGACAACTCATGAGCAAGCGATTTGGAGGAATTCCTTCTAAAAAAAACCACTAAGGGAGCCAGGGGAAAGGGAGGGGGAAAGAAGACAATTTCTGTTGTGAGCTCAGGTGTATTCCCAGCCCCACCTCACTCCACAGAGAGTTCTGAAGTACAACTTATACCTCAGAGTTTGCCTCACCTTAAAGCAAGGGGCAGTGATTGTCTTGTTTCAGTTAAGATATGTTCTGGAGAAGGTGTAATTTTCTGGGTACCTCCATTTTTTGTAAACATAGGTGGCTCCCACAGTTCAAACACATCCATGGAAGAAAGTGCCAGGTGCTAGTTATCAAAAGCAAGGCACCCAAAAGACGGGGGAAGAACGGGCATGTAAGTGCCCATGGCATGCATACACACACCATGCAAACAGACACACGTGCACACACAAACATACACACAGAGACATGCACACATGTACATAGACCACACACACGCACATATGTACACCATGCACACACAGACATGCATACATGCCCACCATGCACACCCACAGCTATGCACACAGCATGTCATGCACACTATGCACACGCACACACACACGTAGATCACACAAACACATGCATATGATGCACATGTGTACACACACGCATGTCCAATGATACAAAGGATCTAAGGGTGTCTGGTCAGAGCATTGTAGTGTCTACTACGACTATTTAGTAGCTGTCACATTGGGGCATAGCTATTTAATTCATTCAGATTGCAATTCAAATCGAATATAAAAGCACATATCACCATGCCTGGCACAGAGTTGCAGTTCAGTAAATGATAGCTTTTATTAATACTGTTACCAAAAAAGCCTTATTTCTATCTTTTCCTTCCGCCTTCCTTGTTATATTCTTTCCCTCATTAATTCCTCCCCAGGCTTTCTTTAATTTTTTTTTTCAGATCCATCCATTCCTTCCTATTTCCACAGGCTTATTCCAAGGTACATTGTTGAAATCCTACCAGGAGCCTCCAGTTAGGACCTTCCTAACTCACCTCCATGTGCCTAATACATGTTTTCTAATCCATCTTGCGCAATGCCTGTGGCTAATTGTATGCCTGTAATCACCCACCCCTGTAATTAATCCCTGCATTAATTTTCCAGGTTACACAGTCCTCCTACATCCCTTGGTCTTGGAAATCAAGTATTTCTCTAGCATTAAAAATGGCCGAATTGAGTATTTCAAAATTTCAGCCCCATTTTTCTCTGACGCTAAATTGGTTTTGATCTTTTGAAGAGACCCCATGATTGTTGGTGTCCAAGACTATTTGCCTCCTTTGGCTTGCCCTCTACTCTTTTACCTCTCAACACTCCATTTATAGTCTAGAGCCTGTTTTGGAAAACCAGGTCCATATCTGGAGGCCCTGCATCCTGCAGAATGGTTCTACTGAGTCGCCTCTGCAGTGGCAGTGCGAACTTGGGCATCCCATTAAAGGAACATCCCAGGGGATGTCAGTAATTTTCAGTCATGATTCGTGCACTGCTCTACTTCATCCAGCAATGCCATTCCTCACCCAAATTCTTCAACTTCCTGTACCAGCCTCACAGTTCCTTCCTCTGGACCTGATTGCCTTGCCAATTTGGCTTACATCACATTTTCTTCACTTTCTTACCGATAAATTCAGTGTATTTTCAGACTGTTATGGCTAAAATGCAGGTGTGTGATTGGTGAGGACTCATGATCTTCTTTAACGGAGGACCCTCCAGCTGGCCTACAGGACTTTAACGGGTAGGGCCAAGAAGGGAAATGATCACCGCATCCTACTTGCCTCTGTATCCACAATATCCACCATCCTCCCTGTGCTTAGGACGTTTTGAAAATGCCTTTGAAAATTAAACTTCAATTTAGTGTGAAAAAATGAGCGTAACTCTATTTCTCTTTTCCAATCCACAGTCCTTCTTGCCTGCCAGCTTAGTCCAACGTTGTGTCCCTAGTTCTTAGCACAGAGCCCAGATAGCACATGGTGGGATGTAAGTACATGTTTATCCTTGAATGGATGAGTTTTTTCCCACAGCCTAATCACTCAACTTTACAGAATGATAGGCCATCTACCTCTTAATTCTTCTACCGAAAATCACTTAGCTC